GCCAAGAAAATAAATTAAAATTACCTGGGTCCCATTGCCAGTGTTTCGAAGGTGATTATGAAGAAGCTTGGTAGCACCATCCTGAAAAGTTTTTGGTAAAGCTCCTAATAACATTGTAAACTCTGGCGTATTGAGTTCAAAGAGGGAAATCAGCACTGAGTGAGCTGCCTAGAAAACGAAGACACACAGAGGTAGATGAATATATTTTGGTTACTCAAAGGAGACCATTTTCTTGACTCAATATTTCTGTTCACTAACACAAGGCTATCTTTCCCAGAAAAACAGATGTTCTTATACACTTTAAAATTTCTTTATTATAAATTTTTAACCTATTTATTTCAGCATATGAAAAATATTAGTGATAGACATGTGGCAGGGATGTTGAAAATACTAACAGATACTTAAAAAAAACATCAGAGCCTTGACTGGTAGCTCAGTTAGTTGGAGCATCATCTGGTACACCAACAAGGTTGCAGGTTGGGTTCAATTCACGGTCAGGGTACGTAAAGGAGGTAACCGATCGATGTCTGTCTGTCTGTCTCTCCCTTCCCACCTTCCCTCTTTCTCTCTAAAATCAGTAACAAAAAAACATATCCTCAAGTGAAGATAAAAAGAACTCAGAAAGATCTGATGGTATAGGAGTGAATACTTCCAAAGTTAAAATTAAGTCTTTTCCTTTGGTGACCAACAATTTATTCATAACTATTCTGAAGGTTATGGGGAAAGATCTAGGAAAGAGAATAATATGGGAAAATTTAACAAGGTAGAGAGACAGATACATGACTAAATTCATCAAAAGATCAACAGATAATGCCTAAAATTAATAAGTTAAGAACAGTGTAAGCTCTTATTTGAAATACATAGGAAAATAGATACAAGGGAAAAGATTTGAAATATTTTGAATGGTCAAAAGATTAGAGGTCAGAGAATTATGGCAAGAATAGTTTTTTATTCTAAGTTTGAACATTATGCTCATATTAAATGGATAAAACTTAGAACAATTTAAAACAGAACAACAAACAATTTTTTTTTAAAAAAAAAGGTCTTGATATTCCCAGGTAAATAACTCAATGCTAACTGGGAATGACCTGAAAAATATTAGTTTCCTTCACTGGCAAACCAAAATGACTTGCTTTTCTGATTTATCTTCTAAAACTTATATTAAAACATACCTTCCGAACTTCAGAACTTTTGGGTTCTGTTGTCCAAGTGATAAACCGAGAGACTGCCAAGCGAGTTTCACTGGAATTTACAAAATCTCCTGGATCCATCTGTTTGGCTAGAGTTTCTATATATTTAAGGATAGCAACCTTCACCTGCAGAAGTAAGCACAACGAGAGGACAATCACATGGTCACTGAGGGACCCTGAGAACACTTCAAAAACAATTAGGTGATTATTTTTTGACAAATACAAAGTGAAAAAAAAAAGCAACCAACAAAGAATTAAACAACCACCTACCTACCTGAGGTTCAAGTATATGACAATGTGGATTTTTGTTTTTCACACAAAGCAGTACTTTTAAGCCCCAGACGTTTCACTGCCCGGTTTGATTAACTGCTGAAGACTCTCTTGATAGAATTATACACCTCTCCTTCAGTCTGCCTTCGGAGCTTATAGCTGACACTTGTCTAGACTCCCTGAGAGCCAGTCTTTATCAACTGAGTGTAATTTGGCTTTTGGGAAAATGAACCGAAGTATTTTGAAAATAAGGCATTACAAATCAAGTGAGTAATTAAGGTGGGCAATATAGGGTTTTTGTCCAATAAGACCCCCACAATGAGACCTGGTTCTTTAATAGGTTCATCAAGTGCTAGAACTACCTTCCAACAGAAGTGTCACAGAAAATTTTATACTAGTTAAAGTGGAGAAAAGACAACACTTATGTGTATAAGAGTTATATGTAGGTTTAAAAAGTCTTATCATTCTCCCAGGAATGATGTGTGGCTACATGGTGGGATGCAGGTACACAAGTTCTTCCTTAGAATTAGCTTTTTTTTATCCTTATAAAAAGCCACGCTTAACTTATCTCCCTTCTCTCAGGTATGTTGGGGAAGAAATAGAGGTTGAGAACCCCTATTTTTAAAGCCACATCTTCAAACATTCCAGGATTTATAAATAAGGGCTATCTAAGACTATTAGTACAGTACTAGTACACTTTAGAAGTGACACCTGGCAGAGTGCACAGTCCTTAGATACATAAGGTTCCAAACACATAATAAATACTTCTTTCCTGACTTAGAAAGAGGAAGGTTTAAATGTTTGATTAAGAGAGCAACTTTGAAAACATTGCCAAAGATTAAGGTAATCCATTTTTCTACGCACTTTCTACCCTTATTGTTGATGTTAATGTGTAATTTTTCTCAGTCAGTCCAAATAAGGTCTCTGGAAAGTACCACGTTAACATACAAAAAGTAAAATATTAAAATAAGGTTCTGCTGCTTGTGTATTTTCCCTTTTCTGCTTCCAGTAAGACAATCAAACAAGACAGAAGGGATCAAATTATATTATTTCATTTCCAAATGAATGAATTTAAGAATTACAACTTCATGAAATGAATTGGGGGGAAAAACACACCAAGAGTTAAGTTATCAGCCATCCTGGGTAAAATGTACAATGGAGAAGAAAAGAGACTATGGTTAATTGTGCAGTTGCAGGCCCCACCCAATACAGCAGAACATAATATTCTGTATTCTTGAAGCCATGTCACCTTCTATCAATACTAATAATTGAAAGGTGCTATAGTAAATTAAAAAAATGAGTATCAGTGTATTTTGTTTTCAATTTGCTGTCATTAATAATTGAACAATGAGATTCAATTAGTGCAGTGCCTTTGCAATTTATAGAGGTATGCAAAGTTTTAAAAGGGCTTCACAGAATAGGTGTGTTTATTATATCAACAGGCAAAATAACCACAATACACATATAATCATTTGAAAGTTTACATTTTAGTAGCATATTTCTCGAGGTCATATACATAATCTATAACTTTAATAACACAAACATGCATTCTTCTTAAGCGGAGGAAAAATAATCTAGTTGCTATATTAGGTGTGCATAATTTTCAACATGTTTGTGTAACCCAGAAAAAGAGGTCATCAAATTACATTTATTTTTAAAAATATTACTTACTTAAAGTCACTCTGTATTGCCATTTCTCCCTATTCTATTACTTCCTTTCTGATATTTAACCACAGCATACTGTGAGAGACATAAAATTTTATACAAACATCCACCTTTTATCTGAAAGATTCATAATTTTTCAAAAGAATTTTTACAAATCTTATATTTTTTATTCGTATTTTTCTATAAACTATTAAGTTTTTTATTCTTAATCCTGTCACCCATCTGAACATTACTTCTATTTTTGGTGTAAGGTGTGGATGGCTCCATATAACTTCTTCTTGCTATCCTAAAACATCAATTTAGGAGCTGAAGAGTGATTTTTCCCTATAGCTTTGCATATGTGTATATATAATATATAATGTGTGTGTATATGTGTAATATAAAATAAATAATAAAAAAGCCATATAAACTGTTTGTGATTCCAGTCTCCAGTATAATGTTTCCCAATTAGGAAAGCTAATTTTAAGTTGTCTCTTTCCTTTCTCTCTACCCTTTGTGTCTTTCTCCTCAGTTCTCAGAAACTTTATTCTCTCCCTCAACTCACCTACCACCCTTCTTTCTTTTTTCCCCTCTTTTTCTTCTCTCTCTCTCTTTCATCACCCTTACTTCTTAAGCGAATGGTTTAGACCTCCATTTCCACAGGCCCATGAAGCATTTCTACATACCTTTTTAACACCTGAATATCTACCACCCATACCTAAATCATAACCCTTATTACAATTTACAGTTTATCAGTTATTATAAATAATGATAAAAATTGCAAGTTCTATATTCCATTATAAATTTAAAATGTCTACCATAATGCCTTGGACAAAGAATGAGTTCTAAAAATATTTATCAACAATATCAAGTAAATTATTCTCTTCTGCAGGTCACTTTTCAAAATTAAAACAGATGGAATCCCCTTCACAAAGCAGCTCTGAGAAAATAACATTATGTTGAGCGTAAGTCAACCCTGGTAAGAAACACAATTATGATTTTAAGACAAAATCATATTTAGAAACTTAAAGGAAATTTAGTCCTGGGCAGTAATGCTTGTGGAAATATATTTCGTGCAGAACAGAGCAGAAAAATATAAGGATTGTCAATGCATATATGCTTGTTATTTCCCTGACTTTACTCTCATTTAATAATACTCATTACAAAACATCTTACTCAAGAATTCAGGAGTTCTTTGTTTAAATTATTTTTTATTTTAAATTTAATACTTAGTTTTATAACAAATTGGAATCCACCTAGTTTTCACATAAAATAATTGGAAAATGTGTGCTAACAACAATTGGGAAAGTTACTCCTGATTTTAAATATTAGGCACACATTAGGAGTATTACATTTGAAAAAGCAAAAAATGTTACTGTTTCAGTTAAAGAGAACAGCCCTGAGATTAAACTTAAAAATTTTTGTTTACTAAAATAAACATAGGTAAAAGTGACCTTTCATCCAAAATACCTATTCAGACTCTAAATTTAAAAATGTATTGGGAAATCACAAACATAAAATTAGATAAGACTTTATAGAGCGAGTTTGCATCACGAGCCCAGGGTTAGATGGCCATACTTGTGTTGCTTTCTAAATGTGTACCCCCAAAAGCTTTTCCAAAGAATAGCCTGGCATTTGAATAACATTTGAAATTAAATTATGTGCATGCTTACAGGCTTACAAAGGTTAGTAGTTGAACACAGATGCATACAAACACTATCTGAAACACTGCAGAATTTGGAAAGAGAGTTAAGAAAAGAAATAATGCAAAAACAAAAAAAAACCTTAGAGCTCCAAAAAGAGTGAAGTTGGTCCCGAAGCGCTGGCTTGACTGTCTGAAAGTTTATAAAAACAAAATCCACTGATTGAAAAGCTTCTCACATGACACAAATACACACATCAACAGAACTTTATTAATAAAACATTTCAACCTTTTAATATCTTCAAAAGACTTTAAATTTTTACCTTCAAGCTTGGTGTTTGAGTCTGATCAACTGTAAATCTCATTAGAATATTAAACTGAAGATCATTTGGAAAAGATTCTCTAAAACAAGGGGGAAAAAGCAAAACAAAATAAAAATTAAGTCAGCAAGCATTTAGCAAATTTGACAGCAAATTATGGTTAAACCAAAATATCATGTCATTCAGAAAGCATGCATGAAGTAGTAAGTATCTGTACACAATAAAAGTTATTCCCTGAAAAAAATCTCAACATTTGAATTTATGTTCTCTAGGGCGTTTAATAGCAACACTATGTAAATAATGGTCTATCTTGCCTCAAATATAGATTTAATTTAAAACCTATTCAGAAAAAGTTCAACATTATCAGAGATGTTTCCCCACACCTAATATCTGAATTCTAGATTCACCTTAAATCAGTGGTTCTCAACCTTCTGGCCCTTTAAATACAGTTCCTCATGTTGTGACCCAACCATAAAATTATTTTCGTTGCTACTTCATAACTGTACTGTTGCTACTGTTATGAATCGTCATGTAAATATCTGATACGCAGGATGGTCTTAGGCGACCCCTGTGAAAGGGTCATTCGACCGCCAAAGGGGTCGCAACCCACAGGTTGAGAACCGCTGCCTTAAACCAATAAATGAATAGAATATTTGAAATAAGTCACTTCAACAATCTACACAAGAAAGTAAAAATGTAGCATTGGTTCAAAATCTTCTGAAAAAAGATTCTGAATATTTTAATGCATAATAAAACATTCTTTTTAAACTTAGAAAATAATTTATTTCTACATTAAATTGAATAAAATCTTCAATTAGAGTTAGCAGATATATCTTAATTACAACAAAATAGTACCTTAAATACTGAACAAATGTTAATAAAATTTTTATAAAAGCAGTGTTTAAGGACCAATGCTGCAGGAAATATACCCGAGTGGGCCTCACTAACAATTTTAAAATGGAGCCTATGCAGCTCAAATAGTTTGAAAAGACTTACATATCTGAACTTTTAACACAGGAACTAAACAGTCCAATTATTATCAGGTAAACTTGAAATATATAAAGAAAATATTACCTTGTAATATCAAGGGCTTTCTGAACTTTTGCCTGAACAGACCCAAGCAAATCAGCACCCATTTTTTTTAGTAGTTGCGTCAGCAATACAAATAACCAATCTTGAAGATCATCTTTGTGGACTTGTATGAAGTCCACTAGAGTCTCCAAAAACATGCTGAATACCTACAGATGATAAACAGGGGGGAGGGAGAAAAAGGAGGAAATATTGACCTTTATGATCAACTCAAACTGAAATAGAAAGGAATAAAGGAATCAGAGGCACAGCGATTGGCAGCCAAGCAGAAAAATAATCTCTCTTGCTTTTCATTGGACTCTGTGATACAAGAGTACATCTGAAATGTTATCCAACTTCTGCTGAAGTTCGACAATTAGCTACTCCATGCAGCATCACTTGTAAAGAAACTTTGGCCATAATGACTGGCACACCTATAGCTTAGACTTGTTAAACTGAAATTGATTTCATCTGAAATTTAGGGCAAGAAACTACCTATAGTTTCACTGGCCCTAAATTCTTATGAAGAGTGGCACTGAGTCATCAGAAGATGACTATGCTGACAGCTACCTTAAAGCATCTGGTCATTCTGACATAATGGGCTAATTAAAGGCTCTTTAGATTTCTCAAAAAGTCAGTTGTCACAGATTTTTTGTTTTGTTATAAAATATATTACTTACTAAAACTGCCCCAAAAGTAATTTTAAATGATTTGGGATAACTATAACTAAAATATGTAAATTCAGAATACAAACTTACATTTAAATTGTAATGATTTTTAAAAAGTCCTAGTCTCCATTTCTATTGATTGGTTTCTACCTGGTTCTAATATTAACACAGTAGTTTAAAAAATTTTGTAAGATGAAAAATATTTTAAGGGAAGAAACGCTAGTATTCATAAGTGATGTATGTCATTAAAATACTTATGAAAAGTGACTTACTTAATGTGTATTATATCTCTTTACAAGAAATTCCACAGCATACTGGAAAATTTGTTTCTAGGTAAATAGGAAAAAAATTCTTAAGACAATGTCAGACATGTTGTATTGAGACAATTTATAATCACAAGTTATAAAAACTATGGTTTAAAAAAGTTAATCTGAAAGTAACTATTTTAATTTGAAAATTAAAAATTTTGTTCTCAATACACTTTCTTTCTTGAATTTCCTTTATATAATTATATATAAACTCCCATTTTTCCTGTTAGAAATGAAGGATTTTTTTCTATCAAAATTATAACTAAGCTTTAACATTGTATGAATTAGAAAATACACACTTTCATTATTTGCTAAAGATGCTTTGTATTTGTAAAAGCAGGAACTTAAAATTTTCTAGTACTCTGATCCCCAGGCAGCATCTGCTTCAAAAATGCTCTAATTCACAATGCAGAGTCATTAACTTCTGTCCCACCCCCATAGTCACAGCCAACCAACCTGGCTTCTATTAGATTCAAAACTTGGCCTCTAGCCCTCAATTCAGGGACCAGAATACTGTTGAATTTCACTAGAGCTACTCTCCGACAAATGCATGAATCTAATCTAGTGCTCACTTTTACTGGTATCTGACAAATCTATTCAGCCAGGTGTGCTGGAGATAGCACCTACTTAGAAAGTAGACTATTGAATATTCATGAATTTTGTGAGCTGGTTGGTAGCTTGAAATAAGCCATTGTGGGAGTACTTACACTTCTGAAATTATAGCAAACATTATAGATCAGGGCTTCCTGCCTTTTTCCCAAACCTGGTTTACCAGCATGCCACTTTCTTAATTCTTGCCTATTTTCCTGAAGACTCCAAGTTTAAGCTTTCACTATACCAAAATCCATTCTGAAAACTATGCATATTCGAATGCCTAGGTCAACTCTCCAATTTTATCTGATTCTTAAGAAAGAGAACCAGAAAAGTGACTTGCCCAAGGTTTCCACAGCTGGTTTTCAGTTGTGTTCCATTCATTCTATTGCTAGGTAACTTAGCTTATCTACTTTACTGTCATTCAACATAGAATTCTCCATTCACTTTTCTCCTACTTTGATTTCATTTACAGCTATCCTTCCAATAATTGTCTCTGTAAAAGAAAGTCATTTCGTTCGGCAGGCATGGCTCAGTGGTTGAGTGCTGACCTATGAACCAGGAAGTCACAGTTTGATTCCTGGTCAGGGCACATGGCCAGCCTGCAGCCCCGATCCCTAGTTGAGGGTGTGCAGGGGGCAGCTGATCAATGATTCTCTTTCATTATTGATATTTCTACCTCTCTCTACCTCTCTGCAATCAATAAAAAATCTATTTTTTTTTTTAAAAAAGAGCCATTTCCTTTGTAACACGAATCTTTCTATTCTGCATTCTTGCTCTCCTCCACTATATATTTATTCTCACTTAAATCCTTTCCTTACGGATGCAAGACACTCCCTGAAGAATTTCTTCTTCAATTTCCATCCTAATGTTCCCACCAATAACCTTTTAATTGTAAAATGTAGTCGCTTTTCATGAACTTAGTATGCTTGGCCATTCTGAAGCTTGTTTCTGCTTTACTCTTATTATTTCGCTTCTTCTTCCATTCTTGTTGCCAGGCATTTTCCTTTGCATTCCCAATGTGGGGTGATTTAAGAGCCAGTCTTCCCCCTGATTCTCTTTTAAAAGGAAGTATGATCTTGACAAAGCCTTTCTGACCTAGCCTACTAGGTCCCATGACTTCTAGAAGAGTTCTCTCTTTTGGCCTTCCTCAATCTATCAATCACACCATCATTGTAGGCACCAGGCCTTTCTTACCAGGTCTGGGTTTTTGGAGTAGGGTGACTTTAGTTTTTCTATTTCTGTATACCAGGGTGAAAAAAGCATTTCTGTAATAGACCAGATAGTACATGTTTTAAGCTTTTGCAGGCCATATGATAGTGTTTGTCACACTATTTAACTCTGCTGTTGAAGCACAGCTACAGTATGCAAACATGTGAGCATAGCTGTGTTCCAATATAACTTCATTAACAAAATAGGTAGCAGGCCAAATCACGCTTCTTTCTCACCATAAAATTGTAGTATCACTATTTTGATATAAACAAAATTTTTTAGTTACTTTTTTAAAAAATATATACTTTATTGATTTTTTACAGAAAGGAAGGGAGAGAGATAGAAAGTTAGAAACATTGATGAGAGAGAAACATCGATCAGCTGCCTCCTGCACATTTGTGCCCGCAACCAAGGTACATGTCCTTGACCGGAATCAAACCTGGGACCTTTCAGTCCACAGGCCGACACTCTATCCATTGAACCAAACTGGTTTCAGCATAAACAAAATTTTTTAATGTCCCCACCTTCACTGTCTATAGGATAATGTCTCAAATGCTTAGAGGCATCAGTTAGACATCTCTAAACAGATCTTGGACTATCTGGCAACTCTTTTTCCCTGAACACATCTCATACACATTCCTGGTTTCCTCCCATACTCCCCACTCACTCTATTTATACACAATATGTGACTCACTACTACCACTTACATCCCAGCCTAGAAACTTCTGGGATAATAGCCACTGATTCGCCCTACTTGAAACTTGTGACTAGCTTTTTGGTGCTTTTTAACTTTTTCTATATTTATATTATTTTCCCATCTGGAATATAGAAGATTTGAGAATAAAGACTATATTTTTGTACAGTCTTGCATCATGTATTTGAACCAAGTTCAAGGTTATTAGAGGCTGAGGATCAAGAATAAAGTTGTTTAATGAATGCGTAGGAAAAGTTCCTTGAAGAGTAAGAATTATTTCCTAAGGGAAACCTGCCATGTAATTAACTGGTAGGTAAGCTTTTTTCTCCAATGCAAGGGAAGATATGTAAGACTCCATTTATCTCAGCCAAATTTAACTTCTTTTTCTTTCCTATAAACTTACTGAATCTCCCACTTCTCTGGACTCACGCTAGCCCAGCAGTTTCTTTCTTCTCATGCTAACATATCCAAAGTTGATGATCCTGTCAAGCTATTGCTATTTCCTTCAAAAAGACTTCTCCAGGCCCTAGCTGTTTTGGTTCAGTGGAAAGAGCG